CTTGAACTAAAACTCATGCGATGAGCTTTAGTTAAAGCACCCCTGTGGCCATTTTGAAGTGTGGGGATGCTAATACACGAGACACAAAGGCTGACTAGAGTGCAATAATTGCAGCACATTGGCGCAGCTCTGCAGCATGTCTACAGGCACCTATAGGTACTTAACAGAGAAGAATAGTCATTTAAATACAAGGGATATGAAGAGGAGGAGAATAGGTGAGGTATAGCTGAGAGAGGCAAAGGCGTCCTTTGAGATTGGGGAGGGGCTGCCTGTAGGCCAGGACAGGCCTATCCCAAAGGCTGTCCTAAAACGGTCATCATTTTCCAGAAGTGACTGGAGGGGGTTAATGGTGTGTCCAAGGTGTTCAAACCAGGATCTGTAGGTTAACTGCTTTGTTTATCCGCCTGTAGCTCACCTTCACCACTCAGCCATGTCCCCTCCTTCCCTCCCCGTTTCTCTATCCCTTATAAATGACCGCATTCCTTTCTATTTAGTACCCCTGCTCTCTGCAAGTCCCTTTATAGCTTCTGAGGAGTGGGCTGTAGCCTACAAAAGCTCACGCTTCTCTGAAAGAGTTAATCTATAAAGTGCCACAATGGTCTGCCTTCTGCATAATAAGGTAAAGCAAGGGTCATCTACCCGCACTGTTATCAGCATAATCACAACTTGAGCTTGACACTGGCTGCAGAGCTCTGCAAGCCTGAGGAAAAGCAAAGGATATAGTTCGGCTAAATATTAGTACCAGTAAAATGCATGAGACACAGCTCCAGTTGCTTAATAAATCACCTCTCTCATACGTTCACTGAGCTGTCAGCAGCCTCAAGGAACCACTTCTAGGCTTGAAGTACACTGGAAAAATGACTTGTTGATGACAGCGGGAGCCAGCCATGTGTACAACAGACCCACCAGCAAACTTGGCTACACAAAACCTAGGCCAAGTTGAGAGAGGGAAAAAAAACCTTCTCAAAAAAATGTCAGGAACTAACCAGGTTAGGACTTCAGTTGCCAAAAAAAAAACAAAAGAAAAGGATAACCCCCTGCAAGTGCAGCTGCCTTTGTCTCCACTGGCAGCCAAACTAATTCCCAACGCGAGGTCAGCTTCTCCCCTGGCTGGCAGGACAATTTTTCCAGCTTCAGATTGCAGAGGGAGGGTCAGGAGGCCTGGTACTCGGGGGGGCACAAACTCCTCACAGGAACCCCTTGGCATCACAAACAGCTGTGTGCACAGCAAGGCTGGCTGCAGCAGCTTGTGTCACGTCGCGGGGCAGAGGTGGCCAGTGCGCGCATGATGCACGGCTGCCCGCAAGGCCGTGCCCCGCGGAGCTCCCCCGCCCCCCCGAGCCCCTGGCCAGCCCTCCCCCGGCGCGATGCCAGGCGCCCGTCTGCCTCCCCGGCGGCTTCCTCAGGTCCACGTCTCGGTCGCCG